CCAGAATGTGGGAGAATTCCCTTCCAAGATCAGGTCATAAAAAGGCCCTAAAGCTCCCTTCTGCTTTCTCTCTTGGATTGCCACTCTGGGAAAGCCAGCTGCCACGTCATGAGAACACTTAAGTAAGCCCTACAGAGAGGTCTCTGAGGCCCCAATCGGCAGCCATGTTAGAGACCCATCTTGGAAGCAGATCCTCCATGGCCAGTCCAGCCTTCAGGTGAGTGCAGCCTCACAAGTGACCCCAAGCTACACCCACCCAGCTGAGCAATTCCTAATTCCTGCCCCACAGAAACAGTGAGGTAGTAAATATTTGTTGTTTAAGTATTTGTATTTGAGTTTTAGGTAATCTGTATGCAGCAACTTATGATTAATACAAGCTGTGAAATTTTTTAAGTAAATTTGCGTTTTAAGCTAGAACATACAAAAGTACATAGAACATATGTGTACAGCTCAATGAATATTTATAAAGTAAAAATACCTAATTAATCACCACCCAGATCAAGCAACAACGTTTTGGATGCATATGTCTTTATTTTTATTAACCTAGTTGAGATTTGCTGGTCTTCTTGAAGCCATGGATTGGTAATTTTCAAAAGTTCTGGGAAGGTCTCAGGCATTTTTTTTTTTTTAAATATTGCCTCTGCCACTTTTTTTTTTCTCCTGGAACTCCAATCACATGCTATGTTGGATCTTTTCGTTCTATTCTCTATGTCTTTCAGCCTCTTGCTCTACATTATCAATCTATTTAACTTGCTGGACTGCACTTTGGAAAACTTCAGATGGAGTTTCCTATTCACTAATTATCTCTTTAGCCTAATTCACAGATACAAGGTTTTTAATTGCTATCAGTAGTCATGCCTTATTTATGGGGAATACATTCCAAGACCCTCAGTGAATCCCTGAAACTGCAGACAGTACTGAACCCTGTTTTTTCCTATACATACATACCTATGATAAAGTTTAATTTATAATTAGGTACAGCAAGAGATTAACAATAACTAATGATAAAATAAACTATAATAACATAGTGTTACATATAGTATATTGAATGTTGTGAATGTGGCTTCTCTCTCAAAATATCTTATTTATGTAATATTTTCGGACTGTGGTTGACCACGGGTAACTGAAACCATGGAAAGTGAAACTGTGGGGGACAAAGTGGGGACTACTGTATTTTTTATTTCTAGAACATCAGTTTGGTTCCTTTGGAAATCTGCTATTTTCATAACTCTCCTTCAGTTCTTACATCATTTGATAACATTTACATTCTATGACTGATAATTCTGATGTCTGAAGTCTTTGCAAGTCTGATTCTACCATGTTATTTTTCATGTCCTTGGCTTTTGGAGCTTTGCTGCCTTGTGTGTCTGGTGAATTTTTCTGTAAGCCGCTCATTTTTGTTTTCTTTTTTTTTTTAATATTAATAATTTGAAGTTCTTAGCTCAAAATGTCTTGCTCCCTTCCTTTGTTGCCCATTTCTCAGAATGCCATCCTCCTGGGTGGGCCAGAGTCCTAGTCGCACTGGTGGGAGGGTAGGCACCCTGCCCATCACACTCATCTGCAGTGAGGCAGCACAGCGTGCAGTGGCCCTGGTCCTGTTTGGAGATGACCCCTGAGGGCCCTCATGCAGGGTCACTAAGTAGGCCCTAACTGCTCATTTTTCTTGGAGTTTTATCAGTGAGAATTCTTTGAGGACTGAGATGATGCATAAAAGTTTGTCCAAGCAGGATCTGCACTTTTCCTATCAAGTGTTTGAGACCTCCGCCATTCTGGGACCACTTTAAATTTCTGGCTTGAGGTTTCTCATGTGCAAACCCACTGAGGGCTGGCTCAGTTCTCAAGGAAGACCTTTTTTCACTCCAGTAAGTGGCAAGGTTCAATTTCCCCTGGGATGCCAGGAGAGCAGATTTATTATCAGTTCACAGACAGTTCCACCGTTTGGGAGCCCAGCTTTACGGAGGGCTCTCCTATGAGGCCCCTTATTTTGCAAAGGTCTTGGGTTGTCTTAAACCCAGGCATCGAGGACCCCAAAAACCAATGCTCAGGGCCGGGAGTGGTGGCTCACGCCTGTAATCCTAGCACTCTGGGAGGCCGAGGCGGGTGGATTGCTCAAGGTCAGGAGTTCAAAACCAGCCTGAGCGAGACCCCGTCTCTACCATAAAAATAGAAAGAAATTAATTGGCCAGCTAATATATATATATATAAAAATCAGCCGGGCATGGTGGCTCGTGCCTGTAGTCCCAGCTACTTGGGAGGCTGAGGCAGGAGGATTGCTTGAGCCCAGGAGTTTGAGGTTGCTGTGAGCTAGGCTGACGCCACGGCACTCACTGTAGCCTAGGCAAGAAAGCAAGACTCTGTCTCAAAAAAAAAAAAACAAAAAAAAACAATGCTCAATTTCACCTGGTTTGTCAGATACCCTCAAGGCAAAGGTTAGGCTTTGGTATGCTGCTACTCTTACATTTTTGCCTGAGTATTCCTTACTTTCTTGCCAGCTCATAGCTGTATTTAAAAAATATTTGCTGTCATCATTTATTTACCTAGTATTTTTAGCTGTTTCCAAAGGAAGATTAGCTCAGGCAACTAGTCTACCCTTATGTAGAAACAGAAGTGCTCAGCCATTCCTTCTTCCAGTTCTTTCTCTGGTTTTCTTTTCCTGGAACTCCTGTCAGCTATAGAACGTCTATCAGTATGGCGAAGTTCTCAATCTACCCTCCACTTCACCCTCTTTCTCTCTCATTGCCACTTTCTATATGACTGCCTCAGTTTTAAGTCCAATTTATTTTATTTTTATTTATTTTTTTTTGAGACAGAGTCACACTGTTGCCCAGGCTAGAGTGAGTGCCGTGGCGTCAGCCTGGCTCACAGCAACCTCAAATTCCTGGGCTCAAGCAATCCTTCTGCCTCAGCCTCCCAAGTAGCTGGGACTACAGGCATGTGCCACCATGCCCGGCTAATTTTTTCTATATATATATATATATATATATATTAGTTGCCCAATTAATTTCTTTCTATTTATAGTAGAGACGAGGTCTCGCTCTTGCTCAGGCTGGTTTCGAACTCCTGAGCTCAAACAATCCGCCCGCCTTGGACTCCCAGAGAGCTAGGATTACGGGCGTGAGCCACCGAGCCTGGCCTAACTCCAATTTATTAATCCCTTCTTTGACTGTATTTAGCTCTTCTAGTGAGCTTTTTAATAACCATATTCTTCTTTATTTGCAAAATTTCAAAGCAGTTCTTTCTTATGTCTAATCCCTATTTTTCTTTTTCTTTAGACAGAGTCTAGCTCTGTTGCCCAGGCTAGAATGCCATGGGGTCAGCCTAGCTCACAGCAACCTCAAATTCCCGGGCTCAAGTGATCCTTCTGCCTCAGCCTCCTGAGTAGCTGGGACTATAGGCATGCACCATGCCCAGCTGACTTTTTCTATTTTTTATAAAGATGGGCGGCCTCGAACTCCTCAGCTCAAGCAATCCTCCTGCCTCAGCCTCCCAGAATGCTAGGACTACAGAGTGGGTCACTGGGCTCAGCCTTATCCTTACTCTTGAGGTATGGGATCATACCTTCTTTTCTCTCTCTGATGATAAAATAAATGCACATTTTAAAGCATATTTAGGATGTACTGTTTCAATCTCCTTAGGTATAAATTCTCTCACTTGTTGGGTTGTTGGCCATTCTTTAAAGCACTGGATTTTCTCATGTATTCTGTAATTTCTGCTGAGTGGCCACCATGCATGGTTTTGGTTTTCCTTTTCCTTATAGGGCACTTTTTCTGTCAGGGCACCAAGGTCATGAAGTCAGCACACCTTTCATTAGCTCTCTAGGCTCTTGCACTACTCCAGGCCAATCTGGTGCTGAATAGGGACCTAGTTGCTAGCCACCAGGCATCCACGTCCTTGCGCTGCCTGTTTCCAACTGGAATCCCAGCAGATGCAGGAAGTCTTTTCATCCTTTATAACTAGGAAAGGAAGCCTGACTCTAGCCCTGACAACTGTGGGCATGTTTGGTCCCAGTCCCCTGTTGGAATCTGAGTCCTGACCTTGTCTCACTGCTCACTGCAGAAGCCGGCCACCTACCACGTCAGCCCTCACTCACAGCTACAAGTTCCTGCTCCTTTTCTACATAGGATACCTTCTGAGAGCAGTTGTATAGTTTTAAGAATTTATTTATTGTGTGTGTGCTGGTCTCTGTGTGCACACACTCACTCCACCACTGTGACCAGAGTCTTTGGCACCGTCCACCGGAGATGAGCACAGCATAGAGGAAGAACACACAGGATGACTTAGGGCAGAGGCAGGAGGCTAAGGAGAAGCTCTGAAGGAAACTCAAGGGTGCGACCATCCTGGAGGAGATGCAGTTCCAGTTGGCCACAGGTACCTGGATCAGAGATGATGTAGCCAGCTTGTGAACCTGGAGAGTCAGCTCCAAAGGACACTCAGGGTCCTAAAGCCAGGACTTTGGGGGTCCAAACCTGAAACCCAGCCTGCAACATCCAAGTCTCCAGCAGAGTGAAGCACCCCTCCCAATGCAGGCCCTGTCCTAGGGGAGCCAGAGTCTAGCTCTGACTGGTGGAGTAGGGAAAGGGGCCTGGGGCTGGGCAGAGTGGGAAAAACAGTGCTGGGGCCTCAAATTGGGAGTGGTCCCCAGTTGGGGTTTGCCAAGGCCCAGTCTCTCCCTTCTCTCTCTCTCACTGTGAGGGGATCCACAGAGGACCACAGTGGGAGCCTCTCTAGCTGTCCCACAGACTACTATAAGGCCTAGGCCTACAGGAGCTCTTAAAAGAACTCTCTCAGACCTTGTCTCTGTCACCCAAGGGTTTTGAAATGACCTCCACTGACCACGGACTGGGCCGGGATTTGGTCCCAGATGGTCGGCCCTGGGCCTTCCCCACCCCTCCAGCGTCAACACGCCCTGCCCAGCACAGGGCTTATTCATATTAAGCACGCTCTGCGGCCACCCTGTCTTGGAGCTCAAACCCACAGCACCCCAGGACCCACGCAACGTCTGACAGGTCTCTGCCACACAGGCGTTCACTTGACTTTATTTCCAGAGACTAAAAAACGTTCCAAATACATACATATGTACAGACACAGGCACGCCCCGGAGCTGCTGCTGGCTCTGCCCTCACTAAGAACAGCAGGAACCTCTCAGGAGGCCTCACCCACTAGGGTTTCAGACTTGACGGCGCAGAGTCACTGTTCTGAAGCCAAACTGGAGGTGACAGCAAGCCCAGCCCCGACCCTGCCCAAGACCGTCCACCTACAGGACAGGCCTGACAGGTGCAGGGGGACAGGGCACACCTCAGTCGGAGTCGCAGGCTTCTTGCTCGGTGGTAGCGTCCACGGCAGAGGCTAGGCTGTCTTCCTGGCCTTTCAGCCTCTCACCTGGAATGGATGGCAGACAGGAAGGGTGGGTCCTGTGCTTGGGCCACCACCCAGAGGGTGGGACCCCACCTTGCCATGCCCTGTGCTTACGAATCAGCTCAGCGATGGCCCTCTGGGTCCTCTTTTTTAACTTGTCCAGCTTCTTGGCCACATCTCTCTTGAGGTCCCTGGAGTAGGGAGGTGGAGGGAGGCAGGAGGCTGAAGGCTGGCCTGGTGAGGCCGGGGGCCCTTCCCCTCCTGCAGCCCTCTGGCATCGGGAATCACATCCGTTGCCTGGGGAGGAGGCCAGGATGCTCCTCTCTCCCCTCTGTGCCGTCTAAAACCCAGCACTAGCCATCCTGCCCCAACCCACTGAGATAAGGGGACTGGTCCCACAGACCCACCCAACACAGGGGCAGAGCCAAGGCATGCAAGGGTGGGTAGCTCCTCAGGGATCCTCTCTTGGTCTGGTCCCCCTAGTCACCACCAGGGAGTAACCGGCTCTAGCCCACCATGGGCCTTGCTCCTCCCCGGGACACAGGCTCGCCCTCTCCCCCATGGGCTTCCAGAAGTGCATGTGCACTCAGCCCGTTCTCTCTGGTTCTAGGTTTCCTAGGTTTCCTAGGACATACACCATGGCTTTGTTTCGTCCAATTATTACACCCATACCTGGTAAGTACTTGACCCAGAACCAGGCAAGAGGGCCATAGCCCCTATGTGTGGCCCAAAGTAAAGGCAGACACAAGCCTCCCCGCCTGCAGCATCCTCTTTCTCAGCCCAGTGAGATAAATGGACATCCCCTTTGCATAGATGAGGGAACCGGGGCCAGAGGGGAACAGGCTAGTTGGTGGCAGAACAGGGACAGAAACCTGTGTCAGCCCTTCCCTCCATCCCCCCTCACACTGTGGTCCGCTAAGGACAAAGGTCAACTTTGTTCAAATGGGACTTTCTGGAGTAGGGGTCTCACCCTTTCAGAGGGGGCTTCTTGAGGGACCCACTGCTCCCCTCTGTCTCAGACCCTCCCCATCACTTTCTCATTGCTCCATTTATGTCCTCAGCACTTAGCGCCGACGCTCAGTGTCTCCTGTAGCTCTATGTCTGTACTGTCCGTCTCCTCACTGTGGGGGAAAGGGCCCAGACCGGGGCCCACGCCTGGCATAGCAGCCCCCCAGTTAGTCTGCACCCCCCTGCTCAGGCAACACTCACCAATCAGGCTTCCGGGGAGCAAGGTTGGCCAGGTCCTGGGGAGGAAGAAGACACACACCAGGGCTGCAGGGGGCCAGCCCCAGGCAAGTGGGAAGACAGAGTAGAGAGGTAGGGAAATGAGAGAAGAGGAAGGAGGGGGACGAGAGCAAGGATGGAGGTGGAAAGGGAATAAAGACGTGAAGAGAAGGAAGGGGACAGAATGGGCGCAGGTGGGGAGGACAGCAGGACACAGAGGCAGCGAGGAAGACAGGGCGGTCCAGGCACTCACCACCTCCTCGATAACCGGCTCAGGCTTAGCGGCCTCCAGCTGCTCCTTCACCTTCTCCTCCACTAGAGGGTGCAAGACAACAACAAAGGCCAGTCGGAAAGGAGTTGCCACTCCGGAGTGACACTGCCTACTGCGGCCCCAGGGAGAGGAGGGGACCCCAGGCTTCCCTGCACCCACCTTTCCCTGGCCCCAGGCAGCCAGAGGTGAAGCCCCTGCAAAGGCAGCTCTGGAGAAGGGGCCTGGGTTTCCGGGATGAAGGCCAGCCCCAGGGTGCAACCAACGGAGTCAGTCAGGAAGCAGGGACGCTAACCTCCACTGTGAAGCCAGACGGCTGCCTACACATGCACAAAGTGCGGTCTTGTGAAGGGCCTTGAGGACTGGCTTTCCCCATAACCCCAGGGCTCCAGAGCTCCGACGATGTCCTCTGGGTCCTGGCCTGGCCAGAACCACTTGTGGCTTTTCTTCCCATCCCACCTCAGGCATGTGCTCCCAAGATGAGGGGACAGGCACCTCCCAGTTCCAACAAGCCGCTGCCAGTGCAGCAGGCCTCCCGGCTGTCTGACCTGGAGAGTCCTGGCCCCAAGGGGACAGATACCAGAAGCAGGAACCAATAACTCCGGGCTCTGAGGACGTCCTCCAACCCCCGCCACTCAGAGGCCCCAGGAGCACCCTCCCTGGCGCTCACCTCCCTCCAGCTGCAGACGGGGCTGGGGCTGCCTCCTGACCCTGAGGCAGAGCCACTCCTCACCCTCCGCCCTGCCCTCCTGTGCCACTGCCCGCCAGGCCAGTGGAGGGGGAGCCCTAACCTTGAAGCAAACTGCCAGGGAGTGTCTGGATTTCAGGATGAAGAGGGAGGAGCAGACTGGGAAGTGGACAAATGGGCAACACTTTACTTTTTCACAATATTAATGTATTTATTCATTTATTTTACGACTAAAAGTTGATAACAAAAATGAAGAATAAAAACGGAGACCCTCCAGCGCCAGGGGCCAGAGGTCCGCATGACTGAGAAGCTCCCTGGCATGAGTCGGGCGGGTGCACAGCCAGAAGCTCCTGGTCCCTGCGCTGCTGCTCCCCACGCCACGGCGAAGGGGCGAGCTCTGGGCTGGGCCCTCCCCTGCGTCTGAGCTGCCCGCCCGCTGCCCTGCGTGCCTGAACGGCCGGCCCTCGTCAGGGTCTCTCGCTCTGACCCGCCCAGGGCCCCCCGGCCCTGTCGCCCTGCTCTGACGCCCAAGGGCCCCAGAGCTGCGTCCACTTCTCAGCCCAGAGGAGTCCTCTGAGGGGACGCGTCCTCACCCAGGGCCCCTCGCAGGTCCCAGGGTGGGAGCAGGGTTGAGGCGGCGCTGGAGGCCTCTTCAGTGCGCTGACAGCCTCTGCCAGAGCATGTACACGTCTGCCGGGAGATGGCGATGGAGGGTCCTGGGGGCCCAGCTCCTGGCCCCGAGCGACTGGTTACTTGCCGAGAGGGCAGAGCCCACCTACCTGCAACAGGTTTGGCCTGGGGCACCCTCCTCCTCTTCAGGTCCTCATCCTCGGGGACATAGTTCCGCAGCCTGAGTTCCCTAAGGGGGCAGAGATGACAAGCAGAGATGAGGTCAAGCGTGTGACACAGTCTCAATCACCTCATACAACTGCAAGTCAGAAGGCAGTGAACCCTCACAAGCTGGTTAGTTCTGGCTTTTCCCTGATCCCTCTGGAGAGGGCCTGGTGAAAAAGGAAGTATAGAACAGAGCGTCGCCAGGACAGGCTGCTCTCCAAAGGCGCTGCCTGCTCTGCAGGGTGTGGGTTTCTTCCAGAGCTGGGGCCACGGATGCCTAGGGAGTATTCCCTGGGTGTCTCCTGGCATGTCCCCACTTAATGGCTAAGGACACAGGGTCACACAGTAGTGGTTGCAAATCTGAACCCAAGGCAAGGGGTATCTTCCCGTCAGGGCCAGAACTCCTAGGCTGAGTTACTCCTAAAAGAGAAAGCAGTGGTCACCCACTAGGTCACCAAGCCCTGCCCCCTCCCAGAGCCTTCCTGCCCCGGGCCAATGATATGTCTGGGCATGCTGGGGAAAAGGCACATGGCAGTGAGGAACAGTGACACGTGGATAGGCAAGCGAGTGCTGGGGGACGCAGAGGGGGCATGGCTGCCGGCAGCCAGTGGGAACTGGCTGGGTTAGGGTGGACGGACTCCAGAAGGAGGCGGTGTCCAGACCTGCGGCTGTAGTGGACAGGGCCAAGGCACAAAGCGCACGAGAAGCTGACCCCGCTCAATGACTGCAGGGGAGGCCCATGAGGGCTGTGGAAGAGGCACGACCACGTGCAAAACTGGGAAAGCCACAGTCCACCCGGGCACCAGTGAGAAATGCACGGCTCCCACCCCTGCAAGAGGTCTTTCAAATGCGACCAGGGCAGACCCCAAGACCCCAAGAGGAGCCATGAGGGGCCAGAATCCCACAGTGGAAGCTGCGGCCAGTGACCACGTTATTTTCCTCCTGCCTCAGTCTCCTCAGGCAAGGCTGGCTGCACCGAGAGCCACTGGGGCCCTTCTCAGCTCAGCAACTCGTCAAATCCCAACCCCCACACAGAAGCAGGCCCCCAGGAAGAGAGGGCCCCCAGCGACTCCACAGGACAGCAGAGTGAGAGTTCCTGGGGGCTGCTGGGCCTCATAACAGCAAGACAGCAATACTGGGACAGGCACCCAGAACCAGAGGGTTAGAGAAGTGGCCCCTCACATGCCAGCCAGGTGAACATGGGCTGTGGGTCCTTCTCCACTACCTCTTTTTTTCTGAGACAGAGTCTCACTGTGTCACCCGGGCTAGAGTGCCGTGGCGTTAGCCTAGCTCACAGCAACCTCAATCTCCTGGGCTCAAGCGATCCTTCTGCCTCAGCCTCCTGAGTAGCTGGGACTACAGGCATGCGCCACCATGCCCGGCTAATTTTTTCTATATATTTTTAGTTCGCCAATTAATTTCTTTCTATTTTTAGTAGAGATGGGGTCTCACTCTTGCTCAGGCTGGTTTTGAACCCCTGACCTTGAGCGATCTTCCTGCCTCAGCCTCCCAGAGTGCTAGGATTACAGGCCTGAGCCACCACACCCAGCCCCCACTACCTCTTTTGGTCTGGGACTGCAGGCCCCTCAGAAAGTCCTGGGCCTCTCGGGCAGGGAGCAATTTCCCAACAGGAGGCCTCTCCCCGTCTGCCATCTCCCGCGCCCTCTGTCTAGCCAGGCAAAAGCGTTGCTGGCTTCCCCAGCCCCTGGAAGGCAGGCCTTCCCAGAGGTGAGGCAGCTGATGTCTGTGGCCACACAGCTTGGCAAGTGGCAGTGCTCTGAACTTGGAGGCTTTCAGATACAAGCTCATTCCCCCATTCAAGAGTGCCACCTGCTTGCTACCCTAGCTCACACACCATCTCCCACCTCCTGCCGGGGACCTGGGGCTGAGCCTGTGTGACAGGGGGAGGGTGGGCGCGGCACCAGCATCACCTGTGGAGAGGCCTATGCCACACTCCCAGAGCCTGCATCGCTAAGGAACGGGGACACCCCACCTGTCCTGCACCCCACTCTTCGTGCCTGCCTCGGGCCTGAGGGTGAATGTCAGGCCACCGAGGTACAGGGAGAGAAAGTGAAGCATGACTTGGTACAAAGACTTTCGTTTACAACAGGGTGGGGAGAAAAGAGGAAGAGAAACTGGGTGTGGGAAGAAAACTGCAGGAATTGAGGGGAAAAAACTGTCACTCTCAGAAACCGTCTCCAGGCTTCTGTGAGAAGTTAGAAGGAGAGAGGGAGCAATGAACTGTACCCAGAGCTCACGGTGGCAAGGAGCACCCATGCGTCCAGCCACCCCTTCAGCAGACCACTGGAATGAGGTCACAGCAGGGAAAGGAGGCCCCGCCCTGCCAGGCCCCACAGCAGAGCACTGGTCAAGCCGCCAGGAACACCCGAGTCCCTATCACTATGGGATGGTCCTGTTCTAGGCCTCAGTTTCCATACCTATAAACATGCAGGTTGTGCTGGGTGTGTCCAGCTCTATCAAGCTGGGCTCAAGCTCTCTCCTGACTCATCTTCGAATCTTTGAGAGCTAATGAAGATTCCCCTCCCTAATGCCCACGTAACTGCCCTCCCCTGGCAGAGCGCCACCACTGCCAGAGGGCAGGAGACTCTGGGAGAGGTAGTGGCGCCCCGGGTCGGGCTGGGGGCCTGGCCTTTCCAACACAGGCCCAGGATTTAACCTCCCTTCTTCAGATAAGTTAACAAACCTGACAACAGATGTATTTTTAATATGTATTAAAACAGATGTATTTTTACATCTGTTTTACAACAGATGTATTTTTAATTTTGGCCTCTCCAAGGCCAAAATCTAGATATTGGCCTTGGGGAAATACCAAACTGACAAGGATTTCAGAGGCTGCAATCATGGAGATAAGGGAAAAGCAACTAAGTGAGCCTGACATCAGATACCTCTTTCCCCTTAAGTATTTGTCCATTTACAAACAGTGGCTGTAAAGCTGAGAGGCTGAGAAGAGCTTCCTACAGTCCCAGAGGCTGGAGAGAGATGCATGTTTAGCACAGCCAAAGAGTAGGGCCCTGGCACCCCACCCCGCTTTCTGTTATGAACCCCCATTAGCCCCATCCTAAGAGCAGGGGTGAACCTGAACCAGACCACTCTTCCCAGGGACTGAAACGCTGGTATCAGCACAGTTGTTAACCGGCCTGCCATTTTTTTTGGCAGAGGGAATGATGTAACTGGGTCCTGGTGAGAGGCGGCCTCTCTATCAGTCCTGAAAGGGAGGGGCGGGGTACCCCTAGCCTAACTGCCTGCTACAAGGTAGAATAAATTCTCTCTGGAGGAAAATAAATGTACCTAGAATCTCAAATTATCTCTAGAATTTTTCATATACAATATCACAACATCCAAGATTCAATCAAAACCATAAGAAAAAATAGAATATACTCATAGGAAATCCAGATGCTAGAATTACGAGAAATGAAATTTTAAATAATTGCAATTAACAGGAAAGGAGATCACAAGATAATTTCAACAGAGAAGTAGAAACTGTAAACATTAATCAAATACCGGGCATGGTGGTGTGCACCTATAGTTCTGCTACTCAGGAGGCTGAGGTGGGAGGACTGTTTGAGCCCAGGAATTCAAGTGCAGCCTGGGTAACACCCATCTCAATTTAAAAAAATAAAAATAAGAAAAAAAGTTAATACAATGGAAATTCTACTACTGAAAAATAGAACCAAATTAAGAATTCAATAAATGGGCTCAACAGCAGTCTAAGTACAGCTAAAGAAAGGATTAGTGAACTGCAGCATATGCAGACTGGACACAGAGGAATAAAGCTGGCACACAGAAAAGACACATAGACATATGGAATATGGTAAGAAGAGCTAACATGCATATAATCAGAGTGCCAGAAACAATATTCAAAGAGATAATGACTGAAAAATTTACAGAAATGAAAAAATCATATAGGATTTATGAAAGAATTAGTCATCAAACCATAAATCAAAGAAACATTATGAACCCCAAAGAACAGCACACCTACGCAAATCATTGTCAAACTACTACCGTGTTTCCCCGAAAATAAGACAGGGTCTTATATCTATTTTTCCTCAAGAAGACATCCTAGGGCAGGGGTCCTCAAACTTTTTAAACAGGGGCCAGTTCACTGTCCCTCAGACCATTGGAGGGCCAGACTATAGTTAAAAAAAAAAAAAACTATGAACAAATTCCTATGCACACTGCACATATCTTATTTTGAAGTAAAAAAACAAACGGGCAAAAAACACCTGCATGTGGACCACAGGCTGTAGTTTGAGGATGCCTGCTCTAGGGCTTATTTTCAGGGGATGTGTTCTTTTTTTTAAGTACAGTATAACAATCTACATTTATGCAAATATAGTTAAGTAAGTTGTCTTCTTCTGCAACATCATCATAACTCTCCAAACCCCGAATTCCATCCTGAATTTCTTGCGACTCTATTTCCTTTAGAACCACTGGCCTCAATCTCTCATGTTGAGCAATAGAGCTCTCATGGGGCAGATGAGAAGGGCTGCTCTTCTTCTTTACCACTCCCCAGCGAAATGCATGGGTTGTGCAGATATGCTGCGTAGCCACGCCCATCACTAGGTCTTATTTTCGGGGTAGGGCTTCTATTGTGCAAATGCTTAGAAATCCTGCTAGGGCTTATTTTATGGGCAGGTCTTATTTTCAGGGGAACACGGTAAAAATCACAGACAAAGAAAATTTTAAAGACACCTAACCTTCAAAGGAACAACTGAATCTGACTTCTCAAGTGAAACTATGAAAACCATAAGACAGTGAAATAATATCGTGGAAGTGGGGAAAGAAAATAAAATGTCACACCAGAATTCTAAGTCTAGTTTAAAAGCTTTCAAGAGAAACATTTTTCTAGATAAAGAAAAATTGGGAGGAGAATTAGCCATCAGTGGATCTGTTATTTAAGAAATACTAACAGGGGGAGTACTTCAGGCTAAAGGAAAATGATCTCAGGTGAAAGCACTGAACTGCAGGGAAAAATGCATCAGACAAGGTAAATACATAGACAAA